GTATTGAGGTTGAGAGGGAGGGGGCAGAGTGGGTGGTAAGGGAGGGGGTAGGGGCAATGGGAGACATGACCCAAGCCTTGTATGCACATATGAATAATAATAAAAAAAGAAAAAATATGAATTTGGAAAGCCCAGTTGTGCATCACATAATATAGAATTTTTAAAAAGGCAGTTTATCTTGTCTCCAGTTACAAAGGACACTCATTAATGGAGTAGGAATACAAAAGGAAAGCACCAAAAGAACTAAAATCATGCATACTGAAGGCAATCTTTGTGAACCAAGAGGGGAATATTCCATGTTTAATGGAGCTTATTTTATGTCACCTCTGTTACAAGCAAGATACTGATTGTGGGGATTCAGAAGTGACAGGCATTTCTATTAAATGTATATGTTATCCTTATGGAAGGATAAAAATGAAAGGTGGTGTTACTGAGCTAGGAAACAGAAATAATAGATTGCAGGATATTTTAGTAGAATTGTATGAAGTTTAACCTTATCATTAATGCTAGTGATATCCAAAATGAATGTTAGCCATATATTTTACATTCATCCTAAATGGAGAGCATTATCTTTTAAATCCTTCTTCACTGCAGTTATCTCATCTAGTATTCATCCTAGATGAAAATGTGGAGTCTTAGAGACACTTCAAACCTGCTAGCATGTGGAGCTAGTGGGATTCTAAATTAAATGATATGAAATTCTGATTTATCTGTCATTTGGATGATTAGTAAGATGCCTGTAAAATGGAGGATGATGGGGACAGGAACAAACACTACATCTATTAGGAATAGTAGAAATATCCATGCTTATTATTGGGTAGATAATCTCTGTGATGTTAGCCTGTGATCCATAGTAATACATTCTACATTTAATGTAATTGATAACAAGATCACGCTGGTATTTCATAGAAATAAACAACATGTAGAGGTCTCTCTCTTGAGTGACAGGAAGTGAACTTATTGTTTGTGATGTGAAAAGGGAAACCTTCCAGGCTACTCTTAGCAAAATTCCCTGTGGTTCATCATAGACACAATGCACACACAACTTCTTTGTTTTTTACAAAAAGAAGCTGGTAGGCTGAGTACAGTGGTTCATGCTTATAACCCTGTTACTCAGAAGGCAGACATTGAGAGAATTTTTTTGGAACCTCATAATAAACAAATACATGAAGTTCATAGAACTCATATTTGAAAATCTGCAGATTGGTATCCTCCCATTTCCCCCAGAGCTTTCATATTTGTCATCTCCTTGGGAAACAATGTTTCTGATGGTCATTTCTTCATCCTCCATTCAAATCAGTACTTAATGTGTTATGCTGATTTTCTGCCAGGTTATGACTGAGGGATGTGGCTCCAATAACTTTTTCATGACTAGTGTCCAATAAAGGGTCAGCATCACTCCTTAGAACTCACATGAACACAACCTTAGCTAGGAACTTGCTGAAGTGCAGAAAACCAGATGAGGGGAGACAACCATATGGACTGGAACAACCATATGGACTGAACTGGAATTACCAAATTGGAGGCCTGGCCTGAATATGTATTATTACAGGAACTTGGCAGCTCAAGGCACAGAAATCATAATTAGCTGAATTGACTCATTTTATGACAATATCAAAGAATTATACTTATCAATGAAGAAAGAATTAGAATTGCAAGAAAATCAATAGCAGGTTTTTCACTTTTCTTTTGATCAGAAAAATTTTGTGTGTAATGTTCACTTATTTTGAAGTTTTCTAAAAAGATCTATTTTCTTTTATGCAGTAGAATATTGTAAATATTACACACACATATATCAAAAAAGTCACTATTATAAACATGGTTAAATGCATAGTTCAATTCACTGATTATGTTTAAGTTTTTATGCAAAATGAGCATCATCCAATTAATTTTTTAAAACATTCACAACCTCAAAATTATACCCATTTAAAAATAATCCTTCCTCTTGTCCTAATATTTCTTGCATGAACTATATAGGGGAAATGATATTATTTAATTACAGAAATAATGTCTGAAGGAGGTAAGATTTAAGGCCTAGATGTTTATTTTCTGCATGTTTGAAATTACATTCCAAATGGATGCCAAATTTCCTTAGACTAGATTGATCCATTTTGATGTCTCCCTTGGGTAGCTTTTATTACCTTATTTTTCTCAAGCTGAAGGTGAATGAATTCAGTGGCAGAGTGACCACAGAGGACATGACTGAGGTCATTCTCTTTCTGGAAAAAAAACCCACCATTTTCTCCTGTATTCATTGCATAAAAATTAAAAATGTAAAAAGTAAAGTTTTAAACGTACTAACTGCTTTGACATTGTTGTTTTTTCCTTTTTTGTATGTGTGCTAATAAGTTGTACAAATAAACTGTTTTACTGTGATATTTGCATACATGTATACATTACACTTTGATTCTATTCACGTCTTATGTTTCTTGCAACCTTTCTACTTTGTCCCTTTTCCTTATCCCTTTCACATCTGTAGTATTCCTTCATGTAATGTCATATTTCCTTTATTTTGTTATTTTTAATCTATAATTATGAGAGGAAAATTGATTTTACTAAAATGAAGAATTCAATCACTAGGATTAGTGAGATAAATACAGTTGTCAAATGGCAGTGAGTCTTTGAAATTTTGAAGTGTCAAATTTGTGTATCAGCAAAAAGAGTAAGTTCCACATAATCTCTTGCCATTATGCCACTTTTTTCTGTTTTTATAACCATGGAATTTATACTCATGAGTTTTTAAGTAACTGATCTTTTTACTGATGTTGAATATAATTACAGGCTATTTATTAATTTCTTGCAATTTCATGGCATGTACTCATATAAGGAAAATATATTACAGAAACAGCAATACTAAGTTAAGGTCACAAGATATTTTTGTTGACTGATGTAAAGATTGATTATTAATTTCGAAACTATCCCACTCATATTTGTCTTTAAATTGCCCTTTTCTTCATTCATAAGATACATTTCATAAATGATGCACCATTACTTATTTACTCATTATTCATTACAGTTGGATAAGCTTGAAATCAGCCTTGATCATAATGCTGGGTCCCATAGAAATTTAAAAAATCTATGCCAATTCACAGAATCAATGAGTGGAATCACAACATTCATAATCAAATCGTCACTTTCTGGGTTTTAGTCACTAATTCTGTCAGAAAATTTTAACGTCTTACAGATGTCTTTTTTATTCAAAGGGTCACTTGAGGAGTTTTTAAACATTACCCAGATTCCTGAGTACAAATGATACAAATACTTGATCTTATTCCTCTTTTTGAAATCTAATGGGCTGATATGTGTATAAAGAGATTGTGGTCAGTTTCAAGAATATTTGACTGGGGCAGGAGAGTGATCTGCACTGAAATATAATATACTTCTTTTCTGTGATCTTTTCTGTAATCTACAGATACACTTCTTATAAATCACATAGCAAGATTTCCTATGTCTCTAATTAGACTATTGAATTTAAATGTGGCCACACTTATCTCTACTTAAGATACTATTTCAAGGGCTTTACAAATACATTATTTCCTTACTATGGTTTATAACTGTGCAGAACTCTATAAAGATGAAATGAAAGCAGATTCCTACAGCATATAATTCACAGACTGGCATTTGTGGAGGACTAAAATAGAACTCATCATGCCATTTTGGTGTTCTTCTCATAATAATTCTCATAATCACATACATAAGCTTATAGGATTTCTATAGGAGCAATTACATGGCTCCAATTTCTGGGATCATGGATTATATGGGAAATACATCCAGGGTCAAAGGAAAACAAAAATTTGAATAAGGGTTTTGTGGCCCCATGCACAACCATGAAACTAAATTCACTATCACTTTAAACTGAAAAATTCTATACTGGTATATCCCCAATTGGCTACATGAACTATAAATTTTATCTTCATCAAAAAGAAAATGCAAGTGATAGTTCTCCCCTGTCTGTCATCTCCCAGAGTATTTACTGGATTACTATGCATGCTGCTGTCTCATGAGCAAGGAAATGCAGAAGCAATGCCCTACTCATCCTGGAGCCAAATAAAACTTCAGGTATCATCTACAGGGTTGATGTAAATATCATGTCAGATGGAAGTTTCCATCAGGAGACATAAAGATATGGAGTCCAATGGACTGGAACCCTCAAATTCATTACAACTATATGACTTTCACTGACCAATGTACAGAGGTCATAGTGAGTCTAAGAGTTCCAATTATCCTGAATGTCAAAATCTTTATAAATGTAATTACTGAAGAGGAAAGAAAAGAAAATGAATATCCACAATCATCTTGGTTGCTTCCCTATTCCCTTTGCAAAGTTCACTTAATTCATTTCTTTTAGTTTTTTTATGCCAAACTTCTTTATTGCATAATTTATTGTGATAAAGTATTTAAACAAAAATAGCATTCTACCAACTTTTCAGTGTGCAAGTTAATAGTGTTAACTTTCTCCACTTTGTTGTGCAACCATCATGGTCATCCATTTCAAAAATTGATATTTCCAAACACATTTTTTTCTTCACACCCCACAATACTCTAAACCATCATTTTGTTATGTTCCATGGTGAGAAATTAACAACATAACTCTACAAAAATAATATCATCAGGAGAAAGAAGTCACCAACTTAGATATTTAATATTAATTGTTTGTCCTCAACTACATAGAAATTGATTTGCTTAGAACCTGACATGAAAATTTTCTGCTGTAGAGCCTCTTCAAGATATTTATAATGTCTGTGTTTCTCAGGCTGTAGATAAAGGGATTCAGCATAGGTGTGACAATTGCATACATTATTGAGGACACCCACCCTGTCTGGAAGAATTTGATACAACTGATTCAAGGTACTGCTCAATTGCTGTTCCATAAAATAAACAAACAACAGAGAGGTGTGAGCCACATGTAGAAAATGCTTTATACCTCCCACTAATGAAGTGATTTTCAGAATAGAGGCAACAATTTTGCAATAAGATGGGGAAAAAGGCAAATATCATACCAAGACAATATGTGATTATGGTTTTGGCAACTGTTTCAGAACAGTCAAGATTAAGGATTACAGTAGGTTCACAGAAGAAACTTGAAATTTCAATGTCCTTCAAGTAAACAAACTCTAACACAATCAAATTATGCAATTGAGAGTCCAAAAGGCTAAGTAAGTAGGATGCAAAAGCTAGCATGGCACAGAGGCGAGGGTTCATAATGACTGAGTAATGCAGGGGTTGGCAGATGGCCACAAACCAGTCATAGGCCATCACAGTCAGTAGCATATAACCAATACATCCAAAGATTATAAGAAAGGATATTTTTGTCAGGCAGCCTACGTGGGAGATAATTCTGTTGTGAGTCTGGATGTCCACAATCATTTTGGGGACTGTAGTGGAGATGAAGCAAATATCACACAAGGACAGTTTGGAGAGGAAGAAGTACATGGGGGTGTGGAGGTGGGGGTCACAGTTGACAGCTAAGATGATGAGAAGGTTCCCGAGCACTGTGATTAGGTACATGGACAGGAAGATTCCAGAAAGCATGGGCTGTAATTCCGTATCTTCTGAGAGTCCCATTAGATAGAATTCTGGGATATGTGTTAAATTGTGTGGTCCCACATTTCTTTGACACCTTTTGAGATAAAAAGATATAAAAAGGAGAGACAAATTATTGGAAACCCAGAGCTCTGCCTATATTTTAATTCAATTATGCTATTTGGAAGTCTATATTCCATCAGCAATATTTCTTAGTTGTCACAAACCATTGTTTCCAGAATTTTTCACTAGTGGGTATGTTTTATGCAGTAGTGGATCCTTCTATATCATATCTCCTTAGGCACTCAATTGAACTATGTCAGAATGCCAAGATATCAGAAGTAGCAAGCCCCTTGATAACAGAAAATACAGCATATTTCCAAAAGGTATTAGAGAAATATCGCCATTTTCTGTTATCATCATTAACATCATTCTAATTAAATATATTCAGAAGAATTTATATATTTTGTTTAATTGTAAGGAACTAGTACAAATTCTTTAATTTATGTAATATATAATGATTTTGAAACATAGTATTAGGCTATCTGAAGTTCACTCACATGTGTATACATTGTTTGGGCCACCTCTCTCCCAACCTCACTACAATGCATGTAGAGCTATGAAGCACTGACCAAAAATATGTCGTAGAGCATATTGATTCTGCCAATGACTTAAAATAAATAAATGTTCTAGACATATGTTCGAGCAAAGATAGCCTCTTAACAATAATGCTGCAAAGTTGGATGGCTATGTAGAATACAAATGTAGATATACATTCTTTCCTTATCAAATAAATGGATTGTATGTTGTAATGTACACCAGAAATATTATAAAGTCACAGAAGAAAACAAAGGAAATTACCTAAGGACATTGTATAGACAAAACATTCTGAACAAGATTCCACTGACAAGAAGCGCAATAAAAATTGAAAATCCAATTAATCAAATGAAAAAAGTACTTTGAATCAAAGAAAACTATAACAAGAAGAAGAAAACCCTATAGAATAGAAACAATTTCCAACTATTCATCTGATAAGTAGTTGATATATATAATATATTGATTTTTAAAAAAAATACATAGCCAAAGAATAAATAATCGAACAATAAATGGGCATGCAAGCATTCAAAGAAGAAAGTATAAAGTGTCCAATACACACATGAAAAAAGTTCAGGATCCTTAGAATAAAGAAATTCAAATCTTAATGATGGCTATCATCAAGAGACAAACAATAGCAAATTCTTGCAAAGATGAGTGAGGGACAAACACTCACACTGTATTGATGAGAATTAAATAACTGCATCCCTATGGAAGTAAAAATGATGTTCCTGAAATTCTAAAATGGAAATAAGTATGATCCTGTCATATCATTCCTGGGCATATATCTAAGGAATTCAAAGTCTACATACAACGAGATTCAGTAACATTCTTGTTTATTGTACTAAAATTCACAAAAGGCAAGTTCATGGACTTAGCCTATGTTCCATAAACATATGAATGGGGCAATTGTTCAGTCATAAAGAAAATGGAAATATGTCATATGTAGGAAATGTGTAGACCTCGATGTTACTATGTGAGTGAAATACATGAGAGGAAGAAAGGCAAATATCATGTTTCTGTTATATGTGGAGTATAGATTTAAAAAGAAACATCCTATTTTCCCTCATATGTGGAAATTAACCTAAAATATAAATGTATACATAAATCCAAACATGATCACATGATCAGGTAGATAGATAAATCGATAGATAGATAGATAGAAAATGATCCTAATAGTGGCACTGTTTGAGGAGACTAAGAGAAAGTGGGAGAAGAAATGAGAATGGCAGAAAGTGAATAATTTTGAAACACATTGCATCAGTATATGAGGAAGGCATAAAAACACACTGAAAGATGTCAAATAATAGGTGGACAGGGGAGATATAGAAAGAGAGAGAAACAGAGGAATTTAATCTGACTAAAGCACAATATATATATGTGTGAAATACCATGGCAAAACCCCTTTGAACAATTAATAAACACATGAATGATGAAGGACAGAATTATACAACAGGTCCAACTTGGGTATGAATGTGCGAGGTGAATTGAGAGGGAGAAAGAGGGTGAATATGGTCCATGTGCTTCTTTTACTTGCATGAAAAAGAACAATGAAATGAGTTGAAATTGTTTTAAGAATGGAGGTAGGAGAGAATGAAGAACAATGAAGGGAGTGTGTGAATCTACCCAGGATACATTGTAAGAATATATGGAAATTTCAAAATGAAGAACTCTTTTAGAACTAGTATAAGTTAATAAAATATAAAATCAAAGGAAAATAACACAAAATAAAATAAGAAACTTAGTAGATCTAAAGAAAAAGTGGCATTAACATCAATGTACTAGCAGGAGGTGGTAGGGGAAAGAGTGCGGGTGAACATGAGAGGAATATGATCAAAGTAAACTGTCTCCATGTAGGGAGAGGTCATAAGGAAACCCATTTCAAAAATGCAAGGAGGCTGCAAGAGCAGGGAAAAGACCTGTGCAAACATGAAGAGGAAGTTTCACTGTGTTTGCATCAGAACTAATTATATTTACAACTGAAATTTTCCCAGGAAATTTCTGTACTTGTTATCTCTGCATGATTTTCCTCCTCTGCACATTTCCCTAAATGGAATATTTAAATGTCAAAATTTATGTTTTCTTGTTTTTTTAACCATATTTTACCTAATGTTTGTTAAAATAGTATACAAAAGTTATAACCTATGAAATGTACTAGTTTTCCTTAGAAAACTCTTTTAAGTCTCTCTGGGAAGCAATCCATCTATTTTCAATGCCTTTTTAAAATTAATCTTTAACACATACTAATCATACATATGAATGGGATTTACAGTCATATTTGGAGGTATACATATATCATATATCAACCATATGTATCTAGCCTTCTGTTGTTGCATTACCAAAGACAAAGGAATCATTTTGTAACTATTATTACAATAATCCTGTCAAAATTATTGTGCTTCTCTTATGTGACACAAACAATTTTGTATATAAAAGGTGATATGAGCATATTTCTCTAATTTCCAATAAATAGTGTATATTCAAATTTACTATTAATCACTTATTTTTGTTTTGCCAATAAAGAGATTATCTTTATCATGCATCTATATTTCTCCTGAGATGTGCATAAGTATACACTGAATTTTATTCACCAATAATTAGTTTTTGACATTGCAAGAAAAATCCTGTACAAAGATTGATATTTCCACATGAATTCTGTAGAAGAGGAAATTTCTGGGGATTTGAATCAGAAAAGGAGCTCTTTTCTCTGCCATCATTGAGCTGCTAACATGAACAAAAGATGTGTGAGTCTATCTCTTCTACTTCTACAGCTTGATGAAAATGGAGAAAAATCACCACTTCCACCAGCATACATTGCACACAAAGGAAGGGACTAATTAATAAATATTAATCTCTTGTGTTTTTAGAATAATGGTGAATTTCATCAGTATGAAAATAATGAAATTATTGAGGATTATGGTTTGCAAACAACACTGTAGTGGTCTGTGAAACTCTACAGTGTCTCACTCACAGACACGGGGTTTAACTTCACCCTTCTCATTGTGCCACTTTTTTATTATTCATTTATTCACTTGTGCATACATTGTCTGGGTCATTTCTCCCTCCTGCCCAATTTTATTCACCATGAAAATCTCTGCTATGTTTTTGAATAACTGATTGACATAGATATGATTTAATAGATTATAGGGTTAAGGTTCCATGACATAGACAGAAACAACAGCTATTTTATTTTTTCTCTACTTCTGAGGGACATTCCAGAAAGTGATGAAATTCAGGACAGGAAATCACTAAGTGTGTTGAAGCCACATTAATTGTAAGCAATTACTCTGAACCATGGAAGGGTGTTTTCATTGGTAAACACAAAGATTTTTATGTTTCATTACACTTTTGTGCCAGAAAATTATGGCTTTGAAGAATCACAATGAAAAGTGAGTGATTCCTCAAAACATACACAAATGCAAATATAAAATTCCCTCTTTCAGAAGTAGGTAAATGATAACTTTGGATCACATAATATTTTACTTTAATCATTTTAACATTTAATCTTACCACTATTAATAGTAGTATCTAATTTTTGTTTATTTTATACATATATCACACATTAGCTATGCATGTAGCATCCATTATCTGTTTAAGACTTTCTCAGGTATGAATCAACTTAGACAGTAATGATGATTCTCAGAGATATTAGCAAACATCCCTTTATTACAGTGATGATATATTGGGTAGGCAGTTTTTAAGATTAAATTGCCAGATCTGTTTCCAATGTACTAAATAAATTCATTATTTCCCAGTAAAAACAAAGTTTTATGTAGAGACCCAAAAGTCTTAACTACAGGTATACCTGAGGTGCATTTTCTCATTCCATTTTCTTAAATTGGAATGAAACCAAGACCTGAATTTTATCGTCTTTTGAGATAGATTGAGCTGATTACAACATGCAAGAAATATGTGGGGAGTCTTAATGGTATCCTAGAGTGTGGGCATTAGAGGTCTGTGTTCAGTATCAAGTTCCTTCTCTTTTTGTGATGTTTGCCTGTTATCTGTGGCTTTACTTCCTATATTGATTCATCTGGTGACATACTGCACAGTTTTGTGGCCAATAAGTATTCCCAAAATAACAGTGGACAAGAGATCTCTTGCTGAAGTGGTAGGAAATGAGACAGCTCTTTGAGTTTTTAAAAGGGGCTTTCAAGGTCTTCAACTTGCCAAGATTCTCCTTCTATAAAACTCTGTGTCCATAAGTGGATAGCTCATTTCAATCATGGCTTCACTTTTTTTCTCTAAGAACATACTACAGGCTTCATTTAACATGCTCTATCATTTTCTGTAAGATAATAATGTGGACACCTAACTAGGCAAAGCACATGAAAAGAAATAACCTACATAGAGCATAGATCTCAGTAACAATTTATGAGGTTATAGTTATTATCATCCTCATCCTTATCATCACCTTCAAAATCATTTTGCAGTGTTTAGGAAAGAGT